ATTAATACAAATAATCAAACTTTATCATATAAGGAAGTTATTATCTAATCAATTGGTAATTATCTTTTGTTTAATCAAGGATATACTCATAAATATGTATAAAATCGGATTTTAATGATCTAAAACAAATAAGGCAAGTATCCATGAGTAAAACAGCAAGAAATCCCGAAAATAGCTCCATCTGACGCTCGAACTCACCGAGTACCACACTGGACTCACCGAGTTGAGCCGAGTACACTGTGGTGCTCGCCGAGTTCATCAGGCAGGGAGCTAAAAAAATGTTTTTGCAACTTGAACAAACACACAAGGCATCAATACAATAGAAACCAATCAAGTCTCTAATACCACTGATGGAATTTTGGTCATAAGAACATCCTATGTGCTCATACAAACCCTAATGCTTGGATCTAGGTTTCTCTATTGTACATGCAATTCATCCAAGACTATACCTTAATTCCATCATATGATAATCGATATTAACATAATAATGGGTTTAAGATGTGACCTTGATTTTTATGTAGCAATAACAATCTCAAATCCTTCTTGTATTGACTTTAGAAAGCTTAGAGTCACAAATGTCACTCCTTTAATGGTTCACAAACACCAAGAGCCAGAGGATGAATAAGTGAAAAGAAGGAGACACCCAAAAACCATCCAAAACCCTAAGGAGTTACTTGCCCACGTTTTTGGTGCTCTAAGGATCTTTAAATAGTGAAGCTATTAGGGTTATCAAACAAGGAAACCCTAATTTGGATGCTTAAGCCCTAAGCAACCCATGGACTCCTTCATTAAAGGCCCTAGGACGATTTCTAATGGGTTTCCCCATAGAATTCGTCCACCCCTTTAATATGGAGCCCATTAGCTCAATATTCAACTATTATGCAATTGACAGTTCAAGTCCCTTAAGTTTAATTAATCTCTTTTAGCCATAAACTTAATTCTTGACTAATATTAATTAAACAATATGATTTCTCCTTTAATATATTATTCTCATAATATATTAATAAATCATATTTAATCCTTTTTCTCCGTAATTCATCCTATCAAGTTGCTTTGGTGAAGGCAACCCAAAAGGACCATGCACCATCGGGTCAAGTACATACCAAAATAGTTATGGACTTAGATACTAATCCAACAGTCTCCCACTTGGATAAGTCTAATAACTATTCCACGTATGACTTCAGATTCTGATTTGCAATCGTAGCTTTCTAAAGCCGTTGTCAACTCTGATCTTATCAGATACGTGTGTCCTATAGATAAGGGATCATATATTCCTCCATTCTAGATATTATCGTATAGACTGAGACATGGATCTAAATCATTCTCTTTGTCTATGTGTTGTTTCCCGAATTCAGATTTATGATGACTGGCAACAGACTACAATTGAACACATCAATTTAGTCCCGGCGTGGCCAAGCACTTAGGTGCCATCACTAAATCATTGAGGGGCCCACATATATTGCTTTTATCCTACTTTGGATAAAAGGTACGGATAAACTTTGACTCAATGCTCACTTGCACTTACTCACCAAATCACACACAACAATATGTTTTATAACACCAAGTTACCAGTGCATTTACATATTATCAATGTGCAACCAACTCGCAAGATACAACTCACACATCTCGGTTTCAAGAATATAAGATGTTATCGTCTCACCAATCACTTGTGATAATATCCATGAAGTGATCCAAGTGAGTGTCGGTTTAATCCAATGCTCAAATCATATTCATAAGCACTCATGAACGTTGCAGCAAACAATTGCTTATGTCTAATGCTATTTAGACAATCCACACACCAATTTATGATAGTCTTCATTCATACCTACTTCCAACATATGAACGACTGTGGCCCGTTTGAATAATTTGACTGTTCTTGACCAATTAAATTATTCAAGAAATCAAAACATGCAAAGTGAAACACAAGAATAATACTAATCCCATATGGCCTCAAACCTTTGAGTATAAATAAACACATTTTATTTATCACCATATCGATTACTCATTATTTGTTGTTTCGGATAATCAACTTCTTCCTTGAATTGCAACACTTGTCCCATGCTCTCAGCATGCACATAATGTTTTCCTGTGGTTCTTACTTTGTGAAATAGATCAAATGATCACATTTCCAATCATACTCATTTCACAGCTCCCAATCCATATCACAAGTGTAAGAATATCAAATTCTTGCCACTTATAGAATATGTTAGATTCTAACATTTGATACAGTTATCCTTTTGTAATGTCACTACATTAAGGTCACAATGACTATTGCCAATGAAATTACAAAGTTCTCTAGGATTGTTACCATACAATTCCATAGACGTGATGTCTCTCACTCAAAGTACTTTTCTTTGAACATCCTTTTGCATAAAATTTCTAATCTAGACATAGATTTTCAATATCTATCTCCCAATATGGAAATGTTTCAATATTTTCCATATGACAACTCATTCTTAATAGAATCTTATCTATTCATAATAATTTTGATATGCTCCATCCAATACTATACTTCCAACTACTCACAAGCGACCAATCCTCGGTGAACTTTGGATTGTCCTTTTGATAGTTGTTTAATTGTCTTAGTCAAAACCGATTCTTGTCCTTTTCCCTCTAAATGTCCTGGACATTTGGAAAATTTAGAATGGTAAAATATTATAGCATTTACAATGGATCCTATACCCGAAGCGTATGGGACACGACGCATAATGTCTTACGAAAAGATTCAATCTTTTGCCATAATATTTTACGCGCTACGTTCTCATAATTCGAACTTTATGAAGAGGAATGTCCTAATCATAATCGAAATGTAAGAACACACGATGTATCCTTGACTAAACTTATTAACATTCCACAACCTAAGCCTTCAGATTTGAAATGAAGCATAATATTCTCTCCCTTTATTATAGCAAAACAACTATTCAACCCTCACAACTTTGCAAAGTATGACTCTTGTTTTCTATAATTAACATTGCTAACTTGAAATACTTGCCTTAATAATCATAGAATCATAACATTTATGCTCCCACTATCATGATGATTATTATAAACATAACGCTTATGCTCCCAATAGCTTTGACATGTATTCAGAAACAACATAACTTTCAGAAAAACAATACCTATTGAATTTATTAATTTCATGTTTCTAATACTTAATGCTTTGATAATCTTTTATCTAAGCTTCTCAATCTCATACACCTTTATCCAAAATAGCTCATATATGTGTCTTAAACAATTCAGATTAATTGCCACATCTCACAATTCGAATCATGGAAAGGGATACCATAACCATAATCGAATTCGAGAATACAATTTTACAATCACTATCTTCTTAAAATATTTCTTAGTGAAAGCATTTCCTCATGTCCATCTTCATGAAGGAGAAATCTTATGACACTTAGATTTTAATGGTGTATGTGTGTGTTCCTATCCATGTGAATTTGTCAAAACCAAAGTTTACGACAAATCCAAACTCTTATGGACGGAACTTTTTCAATCTTGATCTCTTGCCTTGTGGTAACACGGTTGCCCACCATGTATTCCATGTAGTTAAGCAACTCAGCCTATCTTATCAATGTATCATTTATTGATCAAGGTCCTTGCCTTTTATGCATTCAAATGAAAACTCGTAGGGTTCACATGCATAATTAACTCTATTGGAACGGCATAGAAACAAGATAATGTCAACACGATAGGTTGTAAACCTCAAGTCGTGTGCTAATGATGTTCGATAAGGTTTATTTTGATTTGTTCTTGAAATCCTTCAAGACCATTAAGACTCCCACTGACTCCTTGAAATATAAGATTCTCTTGTCAATAAACATTTCTCGATAAACAAATATTCAAGAGTTAGTGTAGCTTTTATCAAGACAAAAAACTTCACAAAATTGGTCCTAGTTGGTCTTTGTCTTATCCAAGACATCACAACTTTCCACATTTGGTGAATTTTATAAACCTTCTTAAGACCTGTCACTCAATGTCACAATCTTAACTCTAAGACTTGTTTTTGTAATGAAGTATGATTGACTTCTTGATTTAACCATTTCTCCAATTCTCATTCCTCTTCTTAGACATACAATTGCACTAAGACTCACTTAGAGGATCAATTGAGATATGGTTCTTAATCATTAAGCCCTTTCATAAAACATAATAAAAGGTACTCTCCCTTCTTTTTAGAATAGAGAAACTTGTATCTTTCTGCCTACTTGATTCTTCTTCTTCGTTCTGTTATTGATTTAAACTCTTACAATCAATTCAGAATTACACTTAATCTTATAAGTATAATCATATTTACTAAACCTTTAGTAAATCATGACGAATATCTTTGTTACTCTTGTGGTGGACTTAATCAATTTATAACCTTGTGTACTCGATCTCCTAGTCCTTCACTTAACACTTTGTCAATGAATTAGTCTAATTTCGAAATATGAAACTTCTCATTTATCATGCAATACTTGTTGTATGATTCCAAGTCTCTATCCAATTGAAACTTGGACGATGAGAAACTTTCCCTATTTGGTAAATTCTCGACATTTCCACAATCATCATAATTAAGAATCACATCCATTCGTTGTAGAAATATCACTACTAGAAAAACAGCCTTTTACGACGCTCATTGCGCGTCGTAAAAGGCTCAGACGACGCGCAAATGCGCGTCAAGGAAGGCCCTGTCATAAAGACAGACGACGCGCTTTTGTGCATCATCTATAGACGACGCGCAATTACGACGCGCGTTTACGACACACAATGCGTATCAAGGAAGGCCCTGTCATAAAGTAAGACGACACACATTCACGTGTCGTAACCTTACGACGCGCGTGTTAATGACACGCAATGCGTATCAAGAAAGCCCCTGTCAAGAAAGGCCATGTCATAAATGAAGATGACACACATTTTTGCGTATCATAATTTAAATGTTCAGAAAAAAATATTCTTTATCGGTTTACCTATTCTCAAATTAAATTTGTATTTAATATTTCATAATAGAAAATAAAATATCATATACAAAAAATAGAATCCATTGCATAAATTTAATGTCATACAATTCTATTTCTTACCATATATAAATTTGCATCTAATCTACTATGTACATCAAATTCCAACTAAGTAACTTCACTTGCAGGAGGCATCAAATCCATGCTTCAAATCACCAATAGAATAATAACAAACTGCACCTAGAGTATACTACCTTCTTTTGGCTCCATTACTTCCCAAAGAGATTGACTCCTTCCATAACATCAGATTGTAATTCTTCCTTATCATTGGTATTGGAAATATCACAAAACTTGGTGTATTCCAAGATAATCTGATATCCTTAGTGCTAGGAGATGTTGGTGGGCATTAACCAATCGACCAATGAGAACTGATGGTGTAAGCAAACTAAAGAACAAATTAAAAGCATTAATGTAATAAATAATAATTATGAAATTTAATATGTTTAGGTGTTAAAAAAGACCTTGTATTGATGTACGCTTAGTGGGGTTCTACTTATAGTATGGAATGTTGCATTCAGAAAGTGGTGCAAGGGATGAGTTTCTAGTTCAAAGTGATAAGTCTTCCAAAAGCACTTCTCTTTCCACAACAACTCTTGGTTCACAACAGATCAACTGTTAATGTAGAGGTGCTTTAATGGTTACCATTGGGACAAGATTGGTGAAAAGACACTAATGAAGATCCATTCATTGAAATGAAATTTATTATAACTAACCTGACTGTATGCAGCTTCAATATATGTGTCAACATAAAAACTAAACCAAATTCCAATAGGATTATGTTTCACTTTCTTCTTCATTTTTTTTATAGGTTTTGGGTTCTGTTTGATATGATGGAATTGAATGAGCATAATAATGGGATTGGACCCATTGACGACTAACACAAGGAAAAGGTTTTCTTATGGTGAAGATACAAAGATTTTTGGGTTTTTAAGTTAGAGTTGAGATGACACAAAAAAAGTTGTAGAATTGTGATTAATCTTAATACTCAAAAAATGAAATAACTTACTTGTATCTTCTGCCACAGGGGATAAAGAGAAGCAAGATCCTTTCCCAAAATTGGTTTCCGAGAAGACGATCGATGTAGTTCCTACAAACCTCTGTGGCTAGATGATCTAAATCATGAATTATCTGCAAAACACAACAAAACAATAAGGCCTTAGCTGAATAAAGTTCAATTTTATAAAATAATATTTTTTTCTTTATCTGCCAATTTATATCCATTTACTTATCTAACTGTACATAACAAAAAACATGTTTGAATGTCTCATTCCATTTTATCAATCAAGCCAAACATGATAATGGAATGTAACAATCCATTCCATTACTATGCTCATTCCATTCCATCATATCAAACAAGACCCAAAACTGATAAAAAAAAATGAAGAAGAAAGTGAAACATAATAAAAAGAAAATGATTAGTTAAGTACTAAAACTAAAATAAAATAAAAAAAACACAATCAGACAAAAAGAAAAAGGAATGACCTCACTGAAATTAAGGTGAGAATCTTACAACTTGCATTATTTCTCTGCACACAACATAATGCTTCTATTTAGTACTTTTATAAATAATTGAATGAACTTTGTCTTTATTTTTTATAAGCCCTGTTTAGGATAATTAATGGGCCCATGGACCCATGGAATGTATGGGATCTTTTTTCATTGAATCAAAATCCATGGCCCATTGATTAACGTTTATGTTCATTTCAAAAGATAGTTTAAATAATCAAAGTATTAAGACTAGTTTAATGACTATTTATGCTTATACAAAGGTGGGAGTAGTTTGAATTTTAAAGTCAATTTGACCATATCTTCAAAACAGTTGGCCTGCGTTATTATTGAAGCCCGTGTATACACATTGTGGCAATCACAATCCTTTAAGTGCGGGTTATTCAAAACAGTTGGCCTAAGTAGATTTGTATTCAATTGTTGGAGTCCAACACACCAAGGGAAATATTGGAACACTTTTTTAACCGATTTGGATCTGGTGAAGTTGCTGCTATGTGTTAATGAAGCTAATGAGGCTTTTGAGGATCTGGTGAAGCTGCCCTTGGTGGGTTTAGTTGTACAAGAAGTTGAACCGTGTTTTCAGGGGCTCGTGAAGGGGTTTGTTTGTGTGATTCAAGGCTACTTTTGCCTGTGTGGGAGCTTCCTGTTATGGTTTCTGATGGAAGTATAGATGGGATTGTTGGGTGTAGGCTTTCTGTTGATGCAATGGGAATTTAGAAGATAAACTTAGAAGTGTTGAGAAGTTTTAAAGGTCTAGAAGGAATCATACCTACCTATACATAAATTATCAAACATATATATATATATATATAATATATATATATATATATATATATATATATTATAACAATTAACACAAACAAATTAGTAATTACCATTGAGTTGCTAGTCTTAGGAGGTGGTTTGTGTTCATTGTCTTTCTTTTTACAGCTGTTGCAAAATGCATGGCTGATACTTGGCATAAGGACACTGTTTGAGTGCTTCATGTGTCAACTCGTCTAGATTCACTGATAACACCTATGTGTGGAGTGTGGAGTCAACTTCATTGTAAATATTTGGTATATAATTGATGTTGTAAGTTGAGAAAGTTGAGAAATTAAGAAACAAGGGCTTACTTTTGATATATGAACCCCAAGGCTTCTATGTGCCCGTGAACACTTGATGCATATAAATGCTCCAAAACTTATAGATCTGGACACCCAAACATGGAGTTTATGAAGAAAGAGGAGAGGGTTTATTTTTGATGTCGAACTACAAGCATGCATCTGAAAATTAGGACTTACACCCATTTTGGATCTGGAGTTCCACAATCTGCACAGCACATATTACCCGATTCAAAGATAAATTCTGCCAGCTTTTGTTTCGCACCTAATCAGTGAAAATCAAATTGCATTAGGAACAATCAACTAGTTAATTAATAAAACAATCTCATCATCATTATATGTAACTTACAATACACACAAGACATGTAATTAATATGTCATTTACAACAAAAAGGCATAAGCATGAGATCTAGTTTTCTACCTATTACATAAAAGATTGTATATTTCTCAAGATATGATAACAATTTGGTAGATGGAAACAGTTAGTTATGGTGCAATAAAATTGACTGAGTTTTGAAGAAGGAAATCACACATAATGTCATAATGAGTTTATCCAAACAAGCAGCTCCACTTTTCTCTATTTTCTAAACATAAGAGGTCATAGAAACAAATGGTTGTGAGATGCATATCCCAGAAGATAAAGATAGTTACTTGTAAAGAAAAGAATTTGGTGTCCAAGCTCTGTCATCAGATCTTTGGATGATGGTTTCACTGCATGATTTGTAGCTATTTGTGTATCCTCCTCTTAAGGAAGTTGTAGCTGATTCTGAACTAACATCTGGTGACACACAACCAGTGCAAACCCCACCCGGGGGGGGGGGGTATAGATGAAGAAGATAAACATACTGACTCTCTGTTCCAACGAAGCATGTCATGTGAACAAATCACCAATTCATGCTACAATCATCAACAGAATCCCATCAGTTAGTCTATGTATGTATGTATAATCAAATGTGTGGCTTACCTTCAATTTCTCACGTCTGATAATTCTCTCACAGATGAGGCGTAATCTCTCCAATTCAACCTGCATGACAATTTTAAGAAAAAAAAATTATGATTTTGGATTCAAATAATGTTTTTATAAACAACAATATAACTTACCCTGACTTTATTCAGAGAATTCCATTCTTCAACTCCATGTTTTTGAGTCTCGGACTAGAATAAGCAACAAATAAAGTATTGTAAGAAACTAGTATATATTTGAAAAAATTAGAAACAAAAAAACAAGAAGGTTGATAGTGATTAATGTTATGGTAAATAATAATAATAATATATCACCTTTGTCCTCTCCACCTGTGCGTCTCATAGTAAGCCTTGTGTTGTATTTTTCCACCACTTGTTCTCACATTCATAAAGAATCCAGTACTTTTGCCACAAGTAGGATGAAATGTGCTTTGACAGTGACCATAATTGCACTATAGGATACGATTATTTATTAAAAATAAAGTTTAATGAAAAAAGAAAAAAATAAAAAATGGGATGGAAGAAACTCGTATTAATCTCACCAACCTTTACATGCGCCAACTTTGTGGCTGCAAACAAGGGAAACATCGTATTATTTTTTTTTAAAAAGAACAACAAAAATGGTAACTTAAGTTTTTGTTATTTTAGGTAGAAACACCGGATAGGGTTGGAAGACAAGCTATTCTGAATGTGCATGTTTACAAGAAAGAGCTCCCTTTGGGAGAGAATGTTGACCTTGCTAAAATTGCTTCCATGACCACCGTTTCACCGGGTAATAAAAAAATCATCTTTTTTTTATTTCCAAAACTACCCTTGTTCTTTTTTTGAAATATATTTTTTGGTTTGGTATGCAGGGTAGACCTTGCTAATTTAGTAAATGAAGCGGCTTTGTTGGCAGGGAGACAAAGTAAACTAGTGGTGGAGAAAATGGACTTTATCCAAGCAGTGGAGAGTTCCATTGCTGTAATTATATTCTTTTTTTGTAAATTAAAAAGATTTTATATGCATTATATGATTTACTTTTTGATAATAAACAGGGGATTGAAAGAAAACAGCCAAGTTACAAGGCACTGAGAAAGCAGTAGTGGCTCGACATGAAGCTGGTCATGCAGTAGCACAGCTGTTTCTAAGCTTCTTGCAGGACAACCACGGGTTGAGGTAAAGATTTTTACCATGGAATGGTATCGCGAATTCCGATTCCAATTGAGTATGACAATTGACAAGTGATAAGTATTCATGTTTTGTTTTGTATCAGAAACTAAGCATACTACCAAGGTCAGGAGGGGCATTAGGATTCACATACAAAATTGAAAAAGAACTATTAATCACCATATAATACAAAAGGAACACAAGTAAGAATCACAATCAAAGAATATTACCTCAACGCAGAAGGCATGGACCCATTGACCATCAGTTGACTTCTTAAAAGCACCAGTATTGCCACCACATAAGCAACATTCCGCTACATGAGACGCCTTCTCTGAGTAACTGAAAGATGGGACCGCCCCCCTGTTTCTAGAAGACAATGAATCTTCACATAAGTCACAAAACCATGGACCTGTAGAATCTTTCAGACTACGATAACAATCTATGTGAACTGCAACCTGTTACCAAATAAAATATTAAAATACAGTTAGGAGGATAAAAAAAAGAGATTAGAACTATTCATTTCCGTTATTGAAGGTTAAGCTAACCTTGCAACTAGAACATATAATAACCGGATTCAAAACTGTTTCCTCCTGTCTGAAAACATCACAAACCCTAGAATGCCCTTTGTAATCTAAAGTTGATGGTGAAGAATCAATGAACTGCAGATCTCCCTCCAAGAGCTTTTATCTTCAACTTATTCTGAACACAAAATAAGAATCAATATAACTTCATTTCATTATGAAAACAGATCAATGAAAGTATGTTTACTTCTTGCATCTAATTCTACTATTTTTTTAACAGAATGAGAGTCAACTACCTCATAGTGAGCGGATTCTTTAATTGTATCTTTCCAGAAAGATGAAATCCTGGAAGAAGCTGCAGCAACAGCAGTTGAAGCTGCAAGAACACCCTGAGCTTCCTTGTTCCTTCTCTCTTTTCGCCCCTGTTTTTTGACTTCTTTTAGATCAGAAAAATATTGGCTCACCAACACATCATCCCATTTTGGTTTTCTTAGTGTCTCAATCTCTTGTGGAAGAACCTTGATCACCTTTGAATCAAATAATCTACACAATAAAAAAAAACATCATCACAAAGTTAACGAATTTGGCACTGCAAGATGAAGATATCAAATTTTTAAATGCAGAGGATAAAGAAAAGGGACCACTTAGTGATATAGATTTGACCCCTGTATTAACAGTATTTACAGCGGTAAGAGTCTTTGTTGACCTTGAATCCCAACATTTTATCTATTTGTCTCACCCTGCAGTCACAACTTGACCTGTTGAATCAAAAAAATGATAAATTTTGGAACATGAAATATAAAAATGTAACAAAGTTAAAAGAACAATTTTCTCTAGAAAAAGTCACTAAAAGAGGAAGATGATCTTTTATTTGTAGAGGAAAAGTATTCATGAACCGAATATGGTTGACAATGATGTCATTGGTTGTGAAGATTATGGTTAACCAATGCAATTTGATTACTCAATGA